ACAGGCACAGGACCCCACTTCAGGATCATTGTGGACAAGACCAAACATAAGGTTCCTTGCCCAAGAGCAACTCAACCATACATTTGTCACCAGCTTTTAAGGCAACACAGTACAAAGGTGCTTCCATGCATCAGGGCATCTTGCACCAGACAGTGGCTGACTAAACCAATAAGGTTCTCCAGTTGGAGGACAGACAGAGAAAAAAAGCAAGAGCACTCATTATCCCTGGGAGCAGAAACAGAAACACAGAGACAAACCAGAAAGTGTTAGACAATATAAGCAACAGGCAGCCTAGACCATCCTAGGAGCTAAAGATCGACAGGGGAGAGGAGAAACGAGACGGATATTAGCTGAAGCAGTAGGGGCAGAGACAGGGGAGTCATTACAGGATCAAAGCACACCTTGAATTAGGGGATAGATAAAAGACCATGTGCACACTCTGTACTCTGCCGTCAGCCCTCTGGTGCTGGGACAATCGTGTGAGGTCTAATTTCTACATCTGATGGCTTTTTACTAAGTTTTTGAATGTGATTTCAAGATTCCCACTTTTCTTACTTAAGTCTCCTATTTCACTTTTTGTTTCTTATAACCTTAACTCAAATATCAAGAGAGGTGGGAGAAAAACAAGTTGCATATCATACCCTGGAAGCCAATGGTAGAGAATGTTTCAAGAAGAAAATGATCAATAGTGTCAACTGTTACAGAAATTGCAAGATGAGCACTTTATAACTTTCAAGTAACAGTACAGGGGCAGGGATTTATCTTAGCAGTATAAGCACCTTCCTAGAAAAGGGTGAGGTCATGAGTTCAATTCCTGATACAAAAAAAAAGGTAACAGTAAAGATCTGCTCAAAAAGTGAGCACCAGATGAAAGGAGACAGGGCAGGTTCTAGGAATGAGAACAAGCACAAGAGATGAGTCCAGAAAGCCATAGAAATGACACTTTCAAGAGGCTCAGCTGTGCAGAGGAAGGGGAACCAACCATACTCTGCGGAGAGGCCGTGAAGGAGTGGGAGTGATTTTTTTAAAGATGTTTTGACATATTTAAATGCTGATGAAAACCGGAAACTAATGAAGGTAAGGATAAAAAGTTCTCAAAGGAAAGAAAACATTCCAAGGGACAATGTTGCTGAGGTCATGAGTGCCCAGGTAGAGAAAATAACCTGAGGTAGAAGAGGGAGAGAAGGAAGCTTCTGTGGATGCACAGAAGGCTCTATCAGGAGGCCACAGTAAAGGCGTTTTCTGTAATGATTTCTACTGGCTGAGTGAACCTGGAGAGGAGATTACCCACTGAGAGGGAAGAGGGAAGAGGCAGAATAACAGCTTTGAAAGAGAGAAAAGTGTTTGCAATAGTCGTTTCAGAAAATGTCAAGGAGATCTCACAGAAAAAAACACTGCAGGATGACCAGTTAGCACCAAGGGCTGCGCCAAGATCAAGGACCACAAATTGGGGATGCCACTCAGCTGCGATTGTATGTGATTTTCTCCAGTCTCATTCATGGTGCAGGGCAAGCAGCAGAAACACTGGTAGTTGAGGATAATTTAAAGTTGAGGACAAAAGCCCAAGGCAACCAGAAGCTGTAAGAGTGAGAGAGAATGAATGAAGAAATGAGCCATAATATCTATGCTGGTTCCAGATGAATGGAGATGGACAGGGTGAGGGGGAGAAGATGTGAGCACAAGGAAACTCAGGAGGTCCAAGAATCGCTGTTGGGGAGCAAGAGGTAAAACGGTCTGGAGCAATAACAGATTGGAGAGATTGGAAGATTGTATGCATGTATGGGGGCATCACACTGAAATCCAGTAATATGTGCAGTTAATACATGCTAATAAATTTAGCATATTTGAGAGTTGGAGAAGTTCTAGGTGATTAGAAGGTGCAGGTATGACATGTGTGCATGTGTGTACACACACGTGTGTGTGTGTGTGTGTGTGTGTGTGTGTGTGTGTGTGTCATGGTTTATGTCAGTGGCCCCCAGGCCTCATGCATTTACATTACACATCTGTGATTGGTTCATTGTCTAGTGCTTGGATTGATCGTGTCAGTGCCCCACCCACAAAGGGGTGGAGCCAGGATGTGATGTAATGGCAGGAAGAAGGTGTGTCTCTCTCTTTTGCCGGTTTCTGCCTTGCTGTTTGCAGCCGCCGTGAACTGCATCCCGCCATGCCAGCCTGCCTTGGAGCCAACTATGTATGGACTGAAACCTCCAAAAATGGTAAGAAATAAACCTTTCCTTTCCCAACTTTGGGCTTCAGGTATTTTGTCTCAGTGACCAGTAAAAAGCAACTAAGACAGAATGTGTCCTCTCTTTCTTGGAGGAATTTTCTCTCCGTCATTATAAGTGATCTTGGGGGAGCAGTTCATGTTCGTGCCTCACCCCCACTCCACCACATGGCTCCAGCAATTGGCTGGAGGGTAGGCACAAGGGTCTTCTCAGTTTGTGGGTTGTACTGACCAGCTTTCCTGTCAATATGGACAATCCCTTCTGCAAAAGGACAAAGTAAGGCCAAAATGTAAAGATAAGCAAAACCAAGTGGAAATAAGAGATGGACCGAAATAAAGAACCCAGACAACAATTTTGAAGCCCCGGGTCTAGCCATGTTGACAGTAGTCTACACCTGAATCTTTCAAATGAGCCTTCACAATTCTCTTTTCAGCTCAAAGTAGTCTACACTGCATTACTTTGGCTACAGTCCAGGATGTGAGTGGCTGAGGCAAAGGGAGGAAAAATGTTTGAGAACTGAGAAGGCCCAGGAATGAAGGATGAGGTCGCCTGGGTTGGCCTTACAGGCATTAAAGTCACCCAAAATGAAGACATTCATGGGGTGCAGAAGACCACTATAACTTTTGCAAAAGTCTAAATAAGGAGATTGGACAGGATACTACTAGGTAAAACAATGAAAACCATGGAAAAGTATGCATTTCTTAGCAAGAGCTTCAAAACAATGATGATTTTTACACAAAGGCAAAAGAATGAATAACAGTATGGGCATTATACCAGGGAAAGACAAACGCAGATTCCACTTGCTAATGAGAAGCTAAGCAGAGCGGATGATAATGTAGATAAGATCACTAAACTGGGAGATGACTTCCAGGTCAGCGGTTGAACATTAGACTCCACCTCTCTAAGCCCTAAGTATTATTATGATATCACCATTAACAGCTCTTTGATCCAGCACCCCTTGACCTTGAACCACTATTTCTTCCTCTGTAAAACAGTTAAAACTGGAAATGTAGACAGATCGTAGGCTTACACTTTCCCCCAAAATATTTTAGGCATATATTTGGATGTCTCAATGACCTAAATACCAAGTAGCAATTTCATCTTTGTATTTGGTAGAAGAGTTACATTAAATATTTTAAGACCTTATCTAAAAATCACATCAGCCTAATGTCAACTCTGAAATGTGTCACAGAGGGAAGCCAGCAACCAACTGGCATTTCAAAAGGAGGGAAATGGCTTCACTAATGGACTCTCAACTTCTCCAAATGGCAGATAAATAGCTAATTTGCATATGAACTATATGTATGTACAGAACTGATTTTTCTTATCCCACATGCCCTTTCCACTAAGCCTCAAGCATTATATTAAAATATTTTAAATATTCCTATTATGTTAAATATTATTATGTATGTGCTAGAGTCATACAGTAGAAATATTACACAAATATATATTTTCACAAATGAAATATAATAAAGTGAAAGTACAGTACCAACTACTAAATGATTCTTCCAGGAATCCTGACATACAGTTAATGATAAGTCAAAAACAAAACACACATGCTTTTAAAAGATACTGTTTAAAATGTCTTTGGTAGTGTAGGAAATAAATTTCCAGAGAAGATGAATTAAATTTATTAAAGATTGTATTTGGAAAATGAAAACTGAAAAAATATATACAAACACACATCCCAGTGACCATATTTCTGGACGCCTGCTCCAGGGACATCGTGAGGTCACTTCCTTCACTTGGGCAGAGGCATGAGTCCAAAGCAGCAGCTGAAGCATCCAGAGACTGTAGAGTTAGTATTAGGGTTATTGTTAGGATTAGGGTTGGGGTTAGGGTTGAGTTTAGGGTTGGGGTTAGGGTTAGGGTTAGCGTTAGGTTTTGGCCTGAGAATGTAAATATATCCCTCTGAAAAGCTTCAGGAAGTTCCTCTGAGTTCTGGTGGGTCTGGACCTCTGGTGGGTCACACTGTTGTCCCCAGTCAGGGCCGCAGTGTGCATTTACTGACTAGCATAATGCACCTTCCACCTGCCTTGCAAATCCAGGAGCGAGCTCTCAATATGGGCTGCTCCCCGAGCAGAGCTCATATTCCTCTCCCTCTATGTCTCTGTCATCCAGTATGTGTCCCTCATTTGCTTTTATTTTGAGTCTTCATTTTTCTTTTCACCACCTACATTTATTAGCAACCTCATTCAAAGAAATTCTCTTTTCCTCCCACTTGATCACTTACATTAGTGACAAACCAAACTGGACAGGAATCAAATCAAATTTTGCCATAAGGCCCACAGTGAACCAACCCATTAAATTTGATTTGATTCTTGTCCAACTCAGTTTGCAACCAAAATTGTGGAAATAATTAAGATTGTAAAGCAAAGCACCACTGTATGTTGAACAAAACTGTGGATTCTTGGGTTTTTAATAATTGAAAGAATCACAACCAAAGGAATTCCATTGATCAAGCTTAAAAATTAAAATTAAAGAATGTCATCCAGGGGGGTGGGGATTTAGCTCAGCGGCGTAAGCACCTGCCTTGCAAGCAGGCAGTCGTGAGTTCGATCCCCGGTACCAATTAAAAAAAAAAAAAACAGTGTAAAAACAATGTCATCCAGTACTGAGTCCACATTCAAGTTTGCTCAATTGTGGCAAGAATATTTGTTTGCTTTTTTATCTAATCTAGTCTCAGACTTCATAATTGATTGTTGTCTCTTTAATCTCATTTCACTCAGGAGCACCCCCAACTTCTTTGTATCATTGACTTTCTGGCAGCGCATAAAGAGTTGTATATTTTTTATTTTCCCTTAATAATGTTGGGGGGTACTAGATCTGCTTTTCACTTTAATAACACATTAGTGCTTCCTTCAGAAACTATTTAAAAAATACATTGACCAGGGATTTAGCTCAGTGGCATAAGTGCCTACCTGGCAAGGGCAAGGCTGTGAGTTTGATCTCTGGTATCAAAAAAAAAAAAATGCATTGCATGTGGTAAAAATAAGATGAATTATTCAAAATAAAAAATTATTCAAAACAGATAACTCCATGATGCTTTTTTGGTTTGATGTGGTCTTACAATGATGGGAACTAATCCAGGGCCTTCATAGTGAGCTAATTCTCAGTCCATTACTTTTACTTTTTTATTTTGAGACAGGGGTCTCCCTAAGTCATTAAGCTGCCCAGGCTGGACTCAGACTTGCAACTTCCTGTCTAAACCTACCAAAGCACGGGCATTAGAGAATTCAGTCACCATTCCCAGCTCTCACTGATGTTAAGAATATGGTATACTGAAAATATTTGTGCAATAGAAATTTTAAACATAGAGAGTTAAAATAAAATCTCAATCTTGGGAAATCATCTTTTCTACAAATGTACTTGACGCATTGGTAGATAAAACCATATGGAATCTCCTCACCTTACAGTTTTGGTTAATAAAAGGTTTCATTCTTCAAGATCTGAGATCAGGTAAGTGTGATAGAATGTGCCTATAATCCCAGTTGGAGCAAGAGAATAAATGTTTAATGCCAGCTTGAGCAACACAGGGGAGATCCGTTTTGAAATAGAAAATAGATACATTTAAATATTTTTAAAAAGAGGCTGGAAATGTAGCTCACAGGTGCAGCAACTGCCTTGCATGTGTGAGGCCCTGGGTGTTCAATCTCCAGCACAGGGAGAAAAAAGTACCGTTGTTATCCCTGTTCCAACATTCAAAATTACTACCAGATACAGTCTGGTAGGAGCATTCAGAACAAAGCTTTTTATTGAATCTCAGGCCTCTCTGTAGTTTATCCAAATAAATTAGTTGCATTGCTTTTCAAAGAATATAAAAGTAGAATACACTTATCACTCTGCCATTTGGGGCCATTTATTACTAGTCATGGGGATGTTTTTCTTCTTCATGCCAAAGAAGCACCCAGAATCAGTGAGACAGAGCAGCTCTCAAGGCAGAGCCAATGTGCCACACATCCGGCTCTGTCACTAACCTTCAGCCACCTTCGGGAGCCCCAGAGTAGCTGTACAACAAAAACACTAACTCTTCCCCATGTCCCCCCATCAGATGATGACATATTATATACATAAATTGAAATGTCACATTGTATGCCATAATACACCTTTTGTGTGTCAAACAAAAAAGTACATATCAGAAATAATTTTTGCAAAGCTTCTCCACATGGTCATTATGAGTTAAAGTGGCCAATAAGACATCAACTCAGCATTTGCTGGCACTTGGAGACCAACAATGTTAATTTATCATCCCATTCACCAGTCTAGCAGAACTGTCAGTCTCTGAATGCTAGCAAAGTAAATAATAGGTGTTTTTCATGTTAAACATTTAGGCTGGCACCTTGAAGATCCTTCTCTTCCCAAGATGCATTCTCACCATATCATCATCAAAGTATACAATATTCACATGCTGATCAAATTTCAAAGATATGAGACACTGTGAAATTGAGACTTGAGTCTACCTCTTGGTTTCACTCCCTTCTAGAAATAAAAAGTTTCAGTGAAGAAGCTTCTGGTGGGCTTGTGGATGTCTGTTCAGCCCAGCAGTCATGTCTTTGAAGCAGGTACAGGTCACAAAATGATGCTGATGTGAATGGATCAGTCTTTCAAGACATTTGATGATCTCATAGTCAGGAAGAGCCAGCATGGCCATATTCAAGCCCAGCATCTGGGAGACTATTTCCCTGAAGTCTACCAGCTGCAAGCAAACAGAAAGACATTAACAGATAGAGCAAATGTACTAGCTACTGCTGGATCAGATACAATAACCACAAATTCATGAAGTAGGCAGATTGACCTACCCACTTTGGCTTTTTTCTCTCATTTGTAAGTAGACTTGTTGCTAAATTACTTCTGAAATCTCCTCAAGCAATATCATAACTACCTGTAAAATTCTGATGATCCAGATAGAGCATTGGATCCTAAGTCAAGAACTTCAGTTAGGCAACCATTAATAAGGTTTTGATCTCACTAAGACTCATTTTGTGAACACCATGGGTGTATTAATCCAATATGCACCTGTCTGAAATTCAGAAAAAATGAAATGATGACTGTGTACACATTTTGCATACTAGAAAGTACTATACAAATATTAACATGGTTGCCTCCATGGATTATCACCATTTGTGCACTGAAATTTTGCCAGGTTAGTGAACTTCTTAAACAAAAGGAAAAACAAATAGCAAAAAAGAATGAGCAGAGGAAAACAAGAGAAATTCTAAATTATTATCACAGAACAGACCACTATGTGATTCACTATTTGTCCATACAGAGAGCAAAGCTGTGTAGTGGCAGGTCCTTGTGATCCTAGCATGCAGGGAGTCGAAAGCAGAAGGATTGCAAATTCAAACCCAGCCTGAGCAACTTAGCAACTTAGTGAGACCTGTCGATGTCGCTCCCGGCCGGCAGGAAGGACACACGACAAAGTCTGGCAGTGGACAACCTTTTCTTTTATTTTCTCTCCGTACAGCCTGCCCTGGGATCGCTCCCAGCCGAAGCCTCCTCTGGTCCGCTCCCCGCGGCTCCTTCCGTGCTTCGCTCCGAAGCCTCTACCGGTCCGCTCTCCGCGGCTCCTTCCGGGCTTCGCTCCGAAGCCTCTACCGGTCCGCTCTCCGCGGCTCCTTCCGGGCTTCTACTTCCCCCCAGGGGTGGCACCAGTATATATACGGATACAGTGTCCAATCATATTAAAGTAAGCAAGGCAAGCTGATTGGCTAACATATTATTGAGCGGGTTGTTTACGCGGTAAGCAGGAAACTAACGTGCTCGATGGGAGGGGTAATCTAACTCAGGCTTTACTCTTTACCACAGGCCGCATGATCGCTATATGCGGCGGCTCGGCAATGTGGTGGCTCCCAACAGAGACCTTTTCTCAAAACAAATTTATTACAAAGGGCTGGGAATGTAGCTCAGTGCAAAGGCTCTGGGGTCGATCCCTAGCACCACCAAAAGCGGGCAGAGAGAGGAACAGCCAGGGGAAATTGTTGAAGTATGCTCCAGACCCCTTCAAGTTCTTCTAGTCTGGCTTCTGTGGTTCTAAGGTTAATTCAGAAGCAGGTGAATCAGAATTATCTGAATAACACCTCAGGAATGCACCTTCCACCTAGAAAAGGTATGATCCAACCTGAGATGGAGTTACCTTAAAGCATACCAGACAAACATGCCCGTCCTAAGCTCATTTACCCTCCCAACCAGGATCCACTTTGGGAAACATAACATTCTCTCTACCCACTTTGATTGGGATGTTTGTGCATTCCCCTGACCTTCACATTACAATATGATGGCATCAGGAGGTGGGACTTTGGGAGTCAGTAAGGTTTACATAGGTCAATGTTGGCCCACCCCCCATTATGGACTTCAAAGTCTTACAAAAGAGGTGCCAGAGAGCTGTCTTGTTCCTGCCATCATGTGAGGGCTCAGCAGGAAGCTATCATCTCTCCACGAGATGCACAACCTGCCAGCACCTTGCTCTTGGACTTTTCAGCCTTCAGAACTCTGAGAAATACTTACCTTGTTTATAAGCCTCCTGATTTATGATATTTTATTATAGCACCTAAACAGACCAAGACACCATAGTCTCCCAGATGAAAAAGTTTCCCTCAAACTTTCCTTCCCATCCCTTTGCATGAAGTCAAAGATTTTAATTCTTGAAATGCTTCCTTTTTAAGAACATTTGCTCATACAATTTGGCTTTCTCTGACTCTGCCTGACACATGAACCGAAGTAGGGGTAGCCAAAGAGGTAAAAAAAAAAATCCCAAGACCAGAGTCCAGTCACTATCCTTTGAGCTCCAGAAAGAGAGTGACACATGAAAGCCAAAGGCACTGGGGTCAGGCTGCCCGGGACATATTTCTTTATGCCTGACCTGATGTGCTCACCAGATAAAATGCTCCTCCTTGCAACTGGCCAATTAATACTTTTTATGGCTTACATCTGTGCTTGGTTGACCATGAGTCTGGGTGACACTGTTTGAGATGGGAGACTGTTTCCTGCAACTGATCTCCACAAGAGATAAAGTACCCACACCCCTCAGCCCCCACCCCGGACTCAAGCCCTGCTTAACTTAAAAAGATCTGGGATGATGAAAACTCCAGAGACAAACACCAAACATCATAAAAAACCTCGACACCAGCAGGGCCTGGTTATTCACTGCCTTTTTGCTGCTTTGATTTTAAAACAAAAATCTTTTTCTTACAATCCATGTTATGCAGTCATGAACTGCTTTTTTTAACTGGGGAAACCATCATAGTTAATGCCAAAATAATGTCACAGAGTGGGTAGATAGATTGAAGTGGTATAGAAAACTTTTCAGATTGCTTTTGAAAAAAGACATGTAAATGATGCTCTTTTTGGCAGCACAAATAAACTGAAGTGACTTGCAGAAGATAAAGGCTTCCCCTGTGTGAGGGTGACACGGGAAGTAATGAAGGCGTTCGTGTTTTTTAATTATCAAGCTTTTCACAAACAAAACTTCACAAACAAACAAAGTTTCAGCCCCAGATTTTTTACCTACCTGTTTTTCTCTCTTTTCTGCTTCTTCAAGAGACTTTTTTAGCATCTTCATTTCACTGGTCACCACTTCTATCATACGTCTCGCCCTTTCCTTCTCCTCTTTAGCCTCATACTCGGCGGTACCCAATTCTGACTTGGCAGACATTAGCTGCTTCTCAGCTTTCTCCTTCATCTTCTCCAGCTTGTCTCTGGATCTATTTAGGTCTTCAATAGCTTTGGTCTGTTCCAAAGTTTTAACCTAAGAAGTCAGAGGAAGACAGATGATTTCTTCTGCACTTATTTATGAAAACTGTATAATCACAACAAATCAGAAGTCAGCAGAATTCACTCAGCATCTTTATGACTAAAGCATGAAATTTATTGCAACAACTACATAGACTTTGCTAAACATGATGAACTGAATGAACACCTCTTAAAACAGTTATGATTTATAAACAACATACTTTAGTGCCCTTATCTGGAAAATCAATGAGATAAGATTGTTGATGGCATGATTCTTGGGTGAGATTAAAATAAAATTCATGAGTAATTTGTAATTTCTGTCCCTTCACTTGGCCATTGTCCCTTATGGGTAAATGCTAGGAAGAACAAAATGTCCCCTCAAGGTGTCCACATAGAAGCCCCACCTAAATCTCCTCAGCAAGAGTTCGGTTTTGTGGTGAGGAAAACCTAGAGCAGAAATATCCAGAGGTGTCTTCTGACTTCACCCACAGTCAGGGAAGTAGAAGACAAAAACCACAGCCATGACAAGCAAAAGAGAGCGGGGAGACTCCCACTGAAGAATTATTCCCAGGCTTCAACCAGAACAGAGTATCCTAGAGTGGGAGGCACGCTTTCTTTATTACTTTATTATTTAAGACTCTTATACCAGAGCTTCTTAGGAAAGAATTTAAGTCAGAAAGAGAAAAAAAGAGGTTGAAATTCTGATGTGATCAGCATGGGTAACTCTTTAAAACGCTGTGCAAATGAACTAAACCAGACACAAAAAGGTAAATTTTGCATAATTCTACTTACATGAGTTACCTAGAAGAGACTAATCCATAGAGACGGGACAGAGTGACCAGGTGCTGAGAAAAGGGGGCTGAGGAAAGCCTTCTGTGATGGGCACAATTTGGAAATGGATGGTGGTAGTGATTGTACGGCAGGGTGAATGCACTTTATTCACCAGAATATGAACTTAAGAATGGCTAAGATGACAAGTTTTATGGTCTGTTTATTTTTACACAACAAAATTAAGGAGTACAGGGCAGTTTTGTACAGATACAAATATTGTTAAATGACTTTTTTTTTGGAGGCAAGGTCTTGCTATGTACTCCAGGCGGGACTTGAACTCTGGCAATGATCCTGCCTCACCCTCCCCAGTGCTGGGATGACAGGCATGCACCGCCAGACCCAGCTTTAAATGACTTCTAGTGTAAATCCAAATGAGCCAACACTTAATACCCATTAGGATGGCTAAAATAAAGATGAAAGGCAATGACAAGCTCTGGAAAGCATGGGGGAGGTGGGGCTCTCATACGCTGTTAGTTGGAAATGGTGAAGCTGCTGTAGAAGACAGTTTGTCAGTTTTCAAAACGTTAAACTTAGTGTTACCATACAATCCAGCAATTCCACTCCTACTCGTATGCCTTAAAGAACTAAAAAAAAAAAATTATGTCCACACAGAAGCCTATACAGATATTCATAGAAGTATTATTCATAATTGCCAAAAGCTTAGAAATGACCCAAATGGGCATCAAGCAATGAATGGAAAAACAAAATGTGGTGTAGCCTTACAGTGAAAGCTATTCAGCAACAAAAAATAATGAAGTGTTATGACATGCTACAACACAGATGAACCTTCCAGGACATCGTGCTGGGGGAAGAAGACAGCTACAAAAGACCGCATGTTGTATGATTCCATTCGTATGAAAGAACAGAAAGAGCTCAGAGGCTGTGGGAGGGGAAATGCAGAGTCCACACTACTAGATGTTGGAAGGTAGAATGGAGGAATAGGGGGTGATATACTTTAAATTGTTGCTGCTCCTGATAAATGAGAGCTCTGTGTGTGTGTGTGTGTGTGTGTGAGACTGAGACAGAGACAGAGACAAAGACAGAGGGCATGTGTACACCTGCATGTCTTGTTTTGTTTGAGCAGGGTTGGTTTGGTTTGGTTTGCTTTGCTTTGCTTTGCTTTGCTTTGCTTTGCTTTGCTTTGGCTTAGTTTGGTTTGGTGTTTTTGAGTAATGATAGAGGTCAGAATTATCCTTTAGTTGTTGGGCTGCTGGTTATTTACTGAAGAAGTTTCAGTAGCTCACTGACACGGATCATATATGCATCCCACACTGACACCTTTACCCAGCCTTGGGCTTTCTTACCTTCACTGTGGCTGGAACCTGCACTGGAACACAAGTTGGCCTGGTCTCAACTCTGGAAGTTCTTACGGTCCCACTGCAAGGTCCAAGGAGGGGTAGACACTATTCTAGATTGGAATTAGGACCCGATGTAGATGAACTATGACTGCCTGGGAAACAATCTTGTGTGACTTCACTAAATTAAGAAAACCTAGGCTGAATACATGCTGAACTCATAAACTACAAACTAACAAGTTTTTAGCAACTAGAACACATACAACTTCCTAAGAAATTGAATTCTTTTTGCTTTGGGTTGAATGTAGGGACTCCCTGAAATTCATATGTTGAAGTTTTAACCCTAACTTGATATTATTATGAAGTGTGGGGCTTGGGTGGGTCATTAGAATACATGTCCTTTAGAAATAAGATCCCAAGGAGCTCCCTTGACCATTCCACCACATGAGGACACAGCTGGGTGTAATATATGAATTAGAATGAAGGCCTTGGCTAGATATAAAATCCACTGGCACTTGCTAAGCCTTCAACTCAGGAAGAACTAAATTTGTTCTTTATAAGCCATCCAGTTTATGTATGCTATTTTGTTACACCAGACTAAGACTAAAATAGATACTTTCCGAGACAGAAAGAGGCTGATAACAGACATGCTTGGAAAGGTCACTGCCATAAAACTGGCTCCATCCCAGAGAGACAAAATGTCTTGGAAACCAACAGTAGCCACAGAACTTGCTGTCAAGAAGGCAAAGAACAACAGCTGCAGCTCTGGAAATACACAGCAAATGAGGTGCCACAGCTGAGGGGAGAGACTTTGCACTGGGGTCGATGAAGTGACACCAGTAGAACAAGCAGCGGAGACAAAAAAAATGCCACCCACTAAGTTGAGGTCTAAGGGGCTGACCTTGAATATCATTCGTGGATCCCAGGTATATAACTGTGTTATATACCATTGTATGAGAGTACTATCTCAGTGGGAATTCCTGAGTGTGCTGACTACATTGTGGTGAAGGAGAAAATGTCTTTGTTATAAAAAAAAAAAGTACACTGGAAAGTATTTAAGTGTGAAATATCAAGATGTTCACAATTTTATTCTTAAATGATGTCTTAATTACTTTCTCATTGCTGGGACAAAATGCTTGACAACCATGAGTTAAAGTAGGAAAGGTTTATTTCAGCTTAGTTTGTGGAGCTTTTGTTTTGCACTTGGCTGGCTCCAAGACAGGGCAGAATGGCAGAAGGTCATGGCAAAGCAGAGACATTCCATGTCGTGGCAGACAGAAAGTAATAGCAGAATCTTCCTTTTCTTTTTTAAATTCTATTGGTTAGTGCCACTCACACCCAGGGTGGGTCCTCTGTCCCTATTAAATCCACACCAGAACTATGCTAAACCAATCAGTGGACAAATTCTCTCTCTCTCTGTCTCTTTCTGTCTCCCACTCTGTCTGTCTCTCTCTTTCTCTCCTTTCTCTCCCTCATCACCCTGTTTCCTGCTCTTCCCTCTCTCCCTCATATTAGAGAAAATACAGGAATTAATAAAGTGCTAACTATATGAAGAGTAAAATGATATGCATAGTACTATTCTTGAAAGTCTATAGATTTAGGCTGCCAGTAAATATGGGGGATAGATAAGGGAAGATTACAGAGGCTCCCTGAAACAGTCAACTTAGATACCGAAATAATACAGTGTGGAGTCTCGGACAGAGGGAGATGAATCCTCTCAACCCAGGAAGAAACTAAAGTAGTCACACATGCAGTCCCAGTGCTACTATTGGAACAGCTAAGATTCGGTGCTCCCACTGCAGTGCCCAGACTCATGGGGCTGCAACTCATTGAGCGACCTGAATTCCTGCCCCTTCGACTCACTGGAACCACAGTTGCACTGAAGTCAGAGTTCGGTGAGCCCAATGCAGAATGGAGCTGGCAAGGGACCTGTATCAACCTGCAGTGAGTGCCAGGAATAAAACCCTTCCATGGGAAAGGGGCACCAACAGGATGACATTTTGGAATCGGGCAGGACTGGCAAGAACAAGGAACAGCAGTGACTTCAGTCAGTTGTTCCCTTCCCAGACAAGATTGGTGGGGTATGCTTGGCCTGAGTCACACCCCTGGCTGAGACCCAATAATTTGTCCCAAACCAATTCCCTATATGCAGCACACACTAATGCAGTAAAGGCCTCGGCAGGTGGACTGACCTGGAAGGGGAGGGGCCAGCATACACCACCCCTGTTTGCATCTCAATAGCACACTAGAATGGGCAGGATCACCTAGCCAGCATGCTTCAGAAGAACCATAACCAACAAAGAAAGGGACTGGGACCTCCTCTATATGCTTATATGGAAGAAACAAAAAATATGAGAAGAGAAAGCAACAAGAAAAAGTCCCCAGCCCCCAACCCTGAGAACATTAATCCAGGAGAGGTAAATACAAAAGAGATTGAGGACAGCAAACATGCAATATCAGACACGGCATCAGTGGACATAAAGAGATACCTCTCTTTGGGACCTCATAGATGAGTTCAAAAGTGAAATATTTAACCAAGTAAAGCAAGATATAAGTAGATTAATAAAAGAAATGCTAAGCACCTCTCAAGAAGACACAGACGGAACAATGGAGGAGCACAAAAAAGGAGAGAATCATTTGATGAAGAATATAAAGAAAATATAGAATACATGAAGCAGATTCAAAGAGATTGCCAGGAAATAAAAAACTCCATTGAAAGCTGGCAAAACTGCTTGAAAGAAACTAAGGATAGATTATCCAAACTGGAGGACAGGTTTGCAATATGGGATCATGAAAGAAAAAAATTTCTTAAAAATAACAAGGAAACAAGCACTAACAATACAAAGGCTAGAAGATGACAAGAGGATCTATAACTTAAGAATAAAGAATGTGAATGAAGAAGCAGGGGTACAAACAAAGAAACTACAAAGGCTATTCACAGAAATAATTAAGGAAAACTTCCCAAACATAGGAAAAGGAGATGATATCAGATGTATGAGGTATATAGAACTCCAGCCACCCACAACCAAAACAGAGCTACACCCAGGCATATAATAATCAAGTTCCCAGAAATTCAATATAAGAGCAGAATATTAAAATCCATCAGAGACAAGAAACAGATTACCTATAAAGGAAAACCCATCAAAATCATAGCAGACTTCTTAATACAGACCATCAAATTAAGAAGAGCTTGGAGTAAAGTATTACAAGCCCAGAAACAAAATAACCTCCAGCCGAGATTGATGTACCCTGCAAAACTGTCTATAGAAATTAATGGAGAAACAAGATGCTTCCAAGACAAAGAGGAACTGGGGGAATTTGCAACCACCAATCCAACTCTACAGAGAATACTGCAGGACATTCTAGAGAAAGAGAAAAGTACCAGGATTCCAGCAACAGTGGCAGAGAGGCCTCAGTGAATGGATCAGAAAGTGGAATGAAGAAGAAAAACAGACAATTAATGGCAGGAAAAGAGCACAACAGAAATGAGGCAGAGAAGGTTGGCTATAATCTCTAATACAGATGGCCTTGATACACTAAAAACAGAGAGACAGAGACAGAGAGAGAGAAACATAGGCAGAGTAGATCAGGAGGTAGGGTCCACCAAGATGCTCTTTATAGGAAATATAATTGACCAGAAAAAGGGTTTACAGACCGAAAATCAGATATGAGAAAACAATGTGCTATATGACAGAGAACCAGAGAGAAATAGAGAACCAGAGAAAAATAGGGGCAACTAGACCAGTATTTGTGGACAGATTGGAAAGACAGGCTTTAACAGGTAAAGGAATACAACTAGAGATCGAATCCAGCAGGGAGAAGTTCGGAACTATTTAGGTAAATACAGGTTGCTGCCCCAATCTAAAAACCTAGGGTGTTGGTGAGTCCCAAAAATGCACAGTGCACCCTGGGGGAGTGAAAGAGGAGGAATAGTCTTTTTTAAAAGACAGCAGAAGATATTGTTACTAGTGTATCAGGATTTAAAACCCATATTACTCTCACCACTTTGCTTAGATAGATTTTATTCTGTCCCAGTTTGTCTACTTGCACTAGATCTGAGGGCACAGACAGCTATCCCAAAAATAACAGGATATAGTACAGTAACCTTCTTTAATTTCCTATTAACTTAATCTGGAGCCCTGTACAACTTACACTGTTTTATCATGATTGATCTTGGTTAAATCTGGTTTGTTTGATTGCTGTTTGTTATTGACAGATTTTATTCAAAACTGTTATGATTGATAGTATCAAGTCTGAGAGTATAGGCAACTACACTGAAGATGACTATGATACCCATTCTGGTTTGATTACTACCTGTTTTTGAAGTTTTACACTATCTACAAAGCTGTGTTTTTATTAATACTGTTATGTACTGATATATTTAGTTATACTATGCCTGATGATATAGCCAATTCTATTGGAGATAACAAGAGACAACACAGGAACCATGGTAGAACTCTTTGTACAACAGTCTTATATGTTTTTTCATTTCATGTGTTTGTAGGAATATGTTTTGTTTTGTCTTGCTTTGTTTTGTTTATCCCTCTAATATAGAAAGGATAGAAATATATGTTAAGACTCATGCATGCGTAGAACCTATAAACAGTTTACGAGAACTGATCTTATGACACATGATGAAATGAACAAATATGGATAACCGCATGTATGTTTAAGTGTATAGGATTGATAACCATATTACTAAGTTTTTGATGGATAATTGAACAGAACTGTTTGCAGTCTCACTGTTTGAATCTCCACTTTATATGTTTCACTTTGTATCTTGAACAACTATTTGTAAGAGGACAATATGTAATCAACTAGTGATTTCTAACTGTTTATTTTTTCTTTGAAAGTGTGTATTATTTCTACCTGTTTTCTGTTCTGTGTAGTCTTTCCTTAAAATTAAAAAAAAAAAACAAGAAGCTTGGGAAAGGATTATAAATGACATGGATCCTATCAATAAAAAATTCTTTGAACTTAAATGTGTATTTATTTATAAATTACATAAACATATTCCAAATAACATATTCTGTGTTTAGACTATCAAACATGTTACAAATTGAAAGCATTCTATGACTTGAATAAATATCTGTTTTTAAGACAAAATTACCCTTCCATTACAACAAAGGGATTCCCCTTCATAGGCAAAACTGTGAAGAAAAAAATACAGGCCAACTGGGAAGTTGCTGGATTGGCTACGCTGAATTTAAAACTTTGTATTAATGGAACAAGAAGCATGTTCAGCCTTCCCTTGCCAAATGGGCAAACATCTGCAGGTGATGGAGCCCAGCTTGGAGAGCTAGAAGCAGGCTGAGTTGTATCCTAATGAGAAGACCGCACTGCCAGCAATTTCTGAAAACTATGAGACTTTTATCACAATGTAGAGGCTGCCTGAACTCTTGTCAAGAAGAGCAAGAGCAAGAAATAGAGGTCGGAACCAAGCCATCCGTTGAACAGAACCGGAAGCCAGTAGAGTGCTGGATAGATGTGAAGACTAATGGCTTTCTTTTTCTTTCTTTTCTTTCTTTCTTTCTTTCTTTCTTTCTTTCTTTCTTTCTTTCTTTCTTTCTTTTTTTAAAGTACTGGAGTCTTTTCATGAGCAGCATCCCAGCCCTTTTATTTTTTGTTTTTCATTTTTGAGACAATCTCTTCCTAAATTGCCCAGGAGGCTCAGACTTCTGATCCTCCTGCCTCAGCCCTGGGCTTACCACTAACGCTCCTGAGGGTACTTCTCTGCACAAGACCTACAGTTTAGGGAGAGATCCTACTTCCCTCCCAGCAGGACAGACGTGGTTGTGCACAGGACTGATTGATCAGCTGATCGATTGATGAGCTGCTGAGCCTCCAGCACGGATAGGGAGGTTTCCAGGAGCTTCCTTCAGGAAAGAATTGTTAAAGCTGTTGCAAAAGGAAAGGTGATTAAATTTTAAAATCTGATGTTCTGGCCTCCCTAGAAGGTCTAAATTTTCCATCAGGTGGGTTTCAAGCCCTGCAGGCCTTATGCATGGCTCTCAGGATCCGGAAGGACAACACAGAGGGAGTTTCCCGCCAGCCAGTAGTGCACACCTTTATTCTCTAAAGTGTTGGGTGAGGCGGTCAGGCCATCACGCTGTCCCAGCACTTACCCCGATGGCCACAGTGAGTGCTCCCTTCGGAGAATCAAGGCCCTGTCACCGGCCTTTGGGAACTCAAAGCTTGACCATAACTGCTATTGAATCAGAGCTTCAGTGACTGCCCAGAGCCTCTGTCAGGGGTCATTTTGTCCCTCAGTTGAAGGGAACACCTCCATATGTCCCCATCATGAGCTCTATCTTCGGTGATTAACCGCAACTCCCATTGTGCAAGTCAAACTCCAGGCTCCCGGACATCCAGGTGCCCTCTGGGCCTCCCGCTCCCACCTCCCCCTTCAGCACCTTCCTGTCCATGTGGAGCAGCTGAGGCTGCGTCAGGCTCCTCCCCTACTCCTCCACACCGCAGGGCCATTCTCCAGGCAGACATTAAGGACGTGCACCTCAGATATTAACCCAGTCACTGTCCCCCTCAGATGTTCTCCTCCTATCCCCATATGTCCCTCCCTCCTAGGGCTGTGCCAGCTCCCCTTCTCTAGGGAAATACACCTGATTCCAGGCCTCAGTCCTGCAGGTATAAGGGCCTCCAGGGCAGAAAGCTAATGGCCTAGAAAACACGGTGGGACTATGCCCACTCTACCAGCCCAAAAAGTGGCTTTGCTTCCAATGCTTTTTCCCTTCTGGTCTGTTTTCCAGATTCAGAAACATTCCAGAATTCAGTTTGTTGAGAATCAGGGTGTTATTTCTGCTAGTTTGTGATATGCACATCTGCTGGGTATGATGTGTGCATTAACTGACATATTATAGCCAGTGACACATGTGCATGACACTTAAATACTTTCCTTAAGTCTCCATACACTTTCATTTCTTTTTTCTCTGTATTCACTGATTGTTTATACAATTATGTACTCCAGCTGTTTCCCTTTATTTTGCTTTCTTTCTTCCTCAGTTCTAGGAATTAAACCCAGTACCTTAGCACTGAACCGCATACCCAATCTTATTTTTTTCTTTTTTATTTTAAGACAGCATCTCTCTAAATTACCAAGTTGCCCAGGCTGGGCTTGAACTTACAGTTCTCCTTCCTCAGCCCCTCAGAGTGCTGGGATTACAGATGTTTGCCAGGACACTACGTGTGTACTCACACACTTCCTTCAAAACAAATCCCTATCTGATACATCCCTCTATCATCTCTAGTCATATTGTTACCTATACCTTGAAAAAATGCTACTATTTTCTGTCTGTAACATCACTCTTTCTGGACTAACATTTCACACATCAGTGATGACTCCACTTGAAATACAAAAGACAGTAAGTTGACATAATATTCTAATTTATATAGTTCTCACATTTTCTCCACAACTCAAAGAAACAACAGGAATTTCTCATCGTTTCCCCCCTGGTAATGCCACTACAAGCTGCTTATCTTTTGCATAAACTTTGATGGTAACTGGACAAATGCAAGAAGGGATTGGAGGCTGGGGTGGCGGCCAAATGCCTGTAAGCCTGGTACCCAGGAGACTGAGGCAGGGCAATTGCTGTGAGCTTGAGGTCAGCCTGGTCCACACAGTTTGAGTTCAAGCCCAGCCTGGACTATACAGTGAGACCTTATCTCAAAAAAATAAAAGAAGGAAGAGGAGGAGGAAGAAAAGGAGAAGGAGAAGGAGAAGGAGAAGGAGAAAGGGAAGGGAAGGGAAGGGAAGGGAAGGGAAGGGAAGGGAAGGGAAGGGAAGGGAAGGGAAGGGAAGGGAAGGAGGAAGGGAGGAAGAGAAAAAGAGAAAAGAAGGGGATGGAGCCCCATGCTTGCCTTCAGCTCGTTGGTGTCAGCCAGTTTGGCCTTGAGCTCAGTGTTGGACTGGCGACAGGCACTTAGCTCCTTCTGCATCCTCTCCACCTTCTTCTCCAGCTTCCTGATGGTGAGCTGGGCCTCATCCCTCTCCACAGCTAAGGCCGTGCGCAACGGCTTCTCCTCCTCCAGCTGGGCTATTTTCTGACGGAGAAGATTCATGTGCAGCTCTTTGCTCTCCAGTCTTTCTTTCTGAGTCTTTAACTGGTACGATATAAACAGGGATTGAAAAAAATAATAATCAAAGAGTAAATACAAATAATTACTCAGATCATGTCAATTTTTATCTACATTTCAAAAACACCAGCTTATAAACCATCAAAGAAGGACAGGGGGCTTCTTTTCCTGATCACACTTACTATCCATATTTTTTCCAAGAATTAATTCTGAGACTACATAGTACTGCACAAAAGAACCACAGAAAACGTGCGAAAGAGTCAGCTTTTCTGCTTCTGGCCAACATTCTGTGCATCATAATAGAAATGTGAAATTACTTTTAAAACTACACAAGTAGGTTTATCAAGAGCAGAATATAATAAGGCAGGGAGACAAAGTCTCCACCAACACTCGATGCTCACAATACCTGCACCAGTGTTTTCCGAAACAAAATAGGACACAAATTAGCCCTGCAACCTAGGCCTGCAAAAGGTGATCCCCAAGGGCCGGGATAAAGGGCAACCACAGGGAGAGCTGATACATTTTTAAAGGAGCATATGCTGAGAAGATATTTAAGAAACCTTCACGTACATGTTTTAAATTTTAGAATCACAAGTGACTTCGAGCAAGTTTTAGTTCATTGAAGCCTTTGTTGTGTGCCTGGCCTATGTGTGTACCCTGGCAGTCAAACTTGTTAAAGGAAACTAGAATGACTTTTTAGAAAATGACAATGAATTCTAAGACAGGAAACATCTTCCTGGGCTCCACCTGTCACAGTTAGTGAATGGATTGCTCTGTCTGGACTGGGAATCAGGTAGATGTATGAGAGGTCTGAGGCGGAGGCCTTACCTACTCCGCATGCGTGAGGAGTTATATGGAGAGAGGACTCCTGGGAACCTGCTTGGGGTTCCTGGTCCTCTTGTCTACATCCACCTCACTCTTGACAAGGCCTTCCTTCCTCCCAACTTTCTCTTGACCTTTTTCGTTGCGTCTAATTCCACTGTGTTGCAAATTTACACTGATAAGTTCCCTATACGTGAGTACTGTTAACTAATTATGTCAATCTTAAGGAAGAATTGTGTCAGGTGTTAAGAAAGGAAAACAATTATCTGGGGAGAATTTTGGGGGGAAAACGTAGCTCTATTTAACATCTCTGATTGGGTTGGTCTGCTTTCTTTCTTAAAATATTCCTCCAGATATAGTAAATTGGGGAAGAGACCAAATGTGAATTGGGGATCTTGTATGAAGCAAGAGTTCAAAAATGTTGCTAATTAAAAATTAACATTCAGGAAAGTCGTTTTCATCACCACCTCAGTATAAGAAATAGAGAGGTAAGTAATTTGCACAAGCTCAACCAGCTTGGCAGAGCCAAAGTAGGAACCCAGATGTGACAGTCAATGGGCTCTGCACTAGAATTCAATCAGAGAATTTTCTCCTAAGAACTATTATAAGAACATATCTGTGTTTTCCTTTTGCTTTCCCCAATACCAATAATTATATAACTAATAATTATACTATATCCCTTTCATCTGTTCATTCATTTGGTCTCAACTGTTTCCAACTCTTTCTTTGAGTGAATGAAAAGTAAGCCCTCCTCACTCTCTAGTTGCTAGCACCATAGAGCTATAAACGCAGAGACCGCCCTGAGTTCCTCCTCTTCCCTCAGCCATGGCCAAGCTCTGCCTGCAGGTCTCCCTGACCCTAGGCTCAGCACATACCCCGGGTAAAAATACAAGGTCACACAGCAAACACTGGGCACTTTCTTCAAAAGACACCTCTTATATGTTCTGTAAATCCTTCTTCTTCCCCAGCCTTCTAGGTGAAGCACAGATATAATGGCTCCAGGGAGCACCATTTTAAAGCAGGAGGCTAAGGACCACTCCAAGAAAGGGAAATAGGTGAGCTGAGATGAGGCTGGTTCCTAGAACAGAGCAGAGCTGCTTTGCCAGCCCCAAGCTGCCTATCTCTAGAAATGCATGTAGGAGAAGAAAAACCTTCTACTTCTTCAGCCACTATTATTGGAGCCCTCTGTTACACACAGTGAACATAACCTTAGGTGATACATGCGCTTATCAGCTCTTCAGACTTGAAATGGAGACTCACATTCTAAATAAAGTTACTGTAGTAGCACATGCCTATAATCCCAGCACTCCAGGAGGCTGAGACAGGAGGATTGCAAGTTTGAGTCTTGCCTGGGCAACACAGTGAGACCCTGTCTCAGAATACAAAGGGCAGGGGATGTAGCTGGGTGTGAAGGCCCTGGGCTCAACCCCCAGTACCACAAAGAAAGAAATTCTAAATACATATCTTTCTCAATGTGTTTTCTAGACACACTGATAAATATGGTAGGGGTCAACTGCTTGTCTCGGTTTTACAATGTTTCCATAACACCTACCTTTCTCTGCAAATTATAGGCGATAGTTTTGTTTTCAATGACCGCGTTGCTCTCGAGGCGGACCAGCTGTTCTATGCGAGCTAAAACTACATCCAGACGCATGTCAAAGCCAAGTTCAGCAGCCATCTGGTCCAGTTTCATTTTTTCTGAAAGTTGATCCAGAAACTTAAGATACTAAACCCAGGGGCGAAAATGAAAATGGAACACAAAATCAGAGTTAATGTGAATCTCCCAAGATCGTCTGTCTCCCAAGCTTACAGTAGGTGATTCTCTTTGGACCCAGCATGGAGCCTGGGCTCTGAGCCCACCTGAGTGATAAATTCCTGAACAGCCCTAACCATTTCGTTCCCTGCCCTGCTCCTTGTCCAAGTGCTCTTTCCTCCTGTCCAGGTCAGTGATCCTGGCGTTCAATCCAGTATGATCCATTCCTCTTAACCCCGCCATAGGAAACCCGGCAGGATCCCAGATCACATCCCCATCTCTGCTTTGGCACCATGGCACTGCAGCCCCCAGGGTGATGCAATACCAGACATCTGCCCATCCATGCATCTTCCGTAGGACTTCTTCTCACCAACTAGGCTCTGGCCTCAAAGGTGGAAAGTGGCCACTCACTTACCACTTAACTCTTCTTGGGCCAAAGAGAGAAACATAAAACAAAACTTTCCATGCTCACCAAATTTGAATAACATTGTGAAGTTTTTTTATGAATTAAGTTTAATGGTACATTTTAGAAATGATGGTCATATTCATCTTAGGGAATTTGTACCTGTACATGATGTATTTTGATTCCTCTCTTTTTCCCAGTCCCCTCCTCGAGCCCATCTTTTCCTCCCTATTTACAAAGTATTGTTTTCATTTTATCCTTTATTTTTTAATCATTTTTTTCCTTTTCTCTTTCTTCCTTTTCCTCTTCTCCCACCCTGGTTCTTCTGTCCTTTTGAACAATTTCTTCCCATTTCACAATATCTTTACACATGCGAATCCAATTTATTTCACTTAAGAGTATGATCTCAAGGTGCATCCATTTACATACAAATGCCTCAAACTTATCCTTCTTTATGGTGGAGTAGTAATCCATTATATAAAAAAAAATCACATCCTCTTTATCTACCCCTTGGTTGATAGGCATCTGAGTTGTTTCCAAGTGTAGCTATTACAAACTGTGCTGCTATAAACATGGGTACACATAGATCACTGTGGTTTGATATTTTTAATTGTTCTGGGAAGATACCCAGAGGGATGTGCTGTAGGTTTTCGTAAGTTAAAATACTTTCAAAAAGTCTTGTAAAGTGCCAGCCTTGCACAGTAGCATACAACTGTAATCCCAGCTACTTAGGAAGCTGAAGCAGGAGGATTGTAAGATCAAGACCAAGTTAGACAACTTAATGAACCCTAGTCTCAAATTATTTAAATTAAATTAAAAGGGACTCTTGCTTAACATGCATGAAGTCTTGGGTTCTATCCTCAATAGTGGGGGTGGGAGGAAGGTGTTTAATATATCAAAGTTAAATTAGCAACATGCTAAAAGAGTTCTATGAAAGAAGTTAACAAGTTTAGAGCTGCTTCCTCCACTGGGTTGCTGTGGCCTATCCAGCTGAGCCCAGACACCAAACAATACTTCCCAAGTGCTCACTGGCTGAGCAAATCAATCAATGAGTTCTCTATATCATAATTGCAAGCTTTGCCTTCTTTGATATTTTATCCTCATGACAATAACTTCTCATCCATCTGGCATTTGCAGGCAATTAAATGTTTAAATAAGCATAATTTCCTGCGGGTCTAAGCATATCAGTTTAAAGCCTAGAACTATCTAGATTTCAGTTGTCAGGATGAAATTATCTGCAAGTGTGCATTTTCCAATTTTGTTAAATAGCATCCATATAAACACCATTTAATCTCTTGTTTATAAGTCACTGTCATTATGAATACCGCACATTGGTGGCATTGTGCCTCGGAGCTGTAAGTTGCTTTTGCCTGTGAGTTGTCAGGCTATTGCTTCTTAACACTGTGCCAGTTCTCCCTCTGCAATTTTTAATTTCTCATAATGTATGTAAGTGACTTAGCTGCTATTGCTTGTGTTTTATATAATAGTTGGTGCCTTTTATGAGGCGCTATAAGAGCTTGTTTACTCCATTTGTGTATAGGACACATCCATTTTGTACATGAGGATCTACAACAAGCCAAGACCCTGCAGAGAAAAAGTCTACTCAATTATACCTCTGAATACAGCTGCTAGAAGCATTTAACTTTAAAGAAGCAAAAGAAGTTGCATCACTGTTTAGCATGAATAAAAACAAATGGAGTATCCTCCTCTACTTTTTGTTAACCTCAATTACCTACATTTAGTATTTAATCTCCTCAAAACTTCATTTTTCAATATTACAGGACATCTGCCCTTGCTAGGATGGCCATTTCGTATGCAGTTATCTGTGGATAGAATTAGTTTGCATAATGTGCTTTCATAACTGGAGTTATTTTGGCATAATCCCAATTAAAATTGATGATTCATTTATATAGAAAGAAAGGAAGAGAAACCAATCCACCTGAAATTGTTCTCTTTGATTTTTTTTTATAATTCAAATAATATTTATCAACTCTTTCTCTCAACCCTAGAGACAAGGAAAAAAATTTAAAACTGATTTCCCTCAAGGAAAAAAATAGAAGAAAATGGAAACAAAACCTTTTGTAAATAAAGAGAAGAAGAATGGTTGACAGGGGAGGTGAACAATGGGAAAAAGAAAAATCAAGATATATTATGTTCAGGTACAAATTCCCTACTGTGAATGTGATATATATATATATATATATATCAAATGTGTGGCAATAAAATTAAATTTTAAAAAAGATTTCCCTAAACCCCAGTAAGCTAGGGATAAATCATCATGGATAAAAAGTGCTGTGACAAGCCAGGCATGGTGGCACATACCTGTAATCTCACCACTCTTAAGAGGGTGAGGCAGAAAGATCCTAAGTTCAAATCTAGCCTGGGCAATTTAAGGACTTAGCAAGTCATTGTCTCAAAAATTAAAAATGAAAAGGCCTGGAGATGTAGCTCAGTGGAAAGGCCCTGGGATCAATTCCCAGGACTGCTGAAAGCAGAAAAAATATACACTGTGACAGAGGCGAGTACCCGCTCCTTGGGGACTACACACATGCAGAGCTGAGTCTCTCTGGGAAGACACCCAGGAGAAGTGACATCTGTGCTGCACCTTGCAGAGATGGCTATTACCAGCTGGGCAGAGAACATTCTGTCAGAAGGAAGAGCTCCAGCGAGTTGTACCAATTTGGAATGTGGGTGTTTTCAGGCCAGGATTTACCACACACCTTGACAGCATCCTGCTGGTCCCTGAAACCTTCTCTGAGTTTGTTCCCATTGGCTAGAAACATGTTAGAGGAGAAGAGATGTGGGGAAGAGAATTAGGCAGCATGCCCAATGAGAACCACGAGAAAAAAAGAAATCTGAACTTGAACCAGAGGGCCACAGAGAGCCATCCACCACCCAGTTTTGGACATGCAATTTATGAAAACCTCTCTTGCAGCAGTAAAGAGCAAGTGCTAGGTATGGTGAGCAGGACACAGAGGCCTATGGAAAGACTGTGTCCAGTATTGGATGATGCTCAGAGCCAGAGGCCCGCTACTGGTCTAGACACAGGGTGAGTGATGGAAGAGGCATATTGGAGAGATGGGATAGACAGCGCTAAGGCTCTGGTTAGAGAAACAGAAGCAGTAGGACAGGCCCAGGCAAGTGGAGGTAGACTGCCACCATCACTGAAGCATGCAGGGCAAAGGTGAAGACAGAGTGCTTCACTTCTGAATATGTCTAGGTCTTCGGGGACCCTCTTGATGGGGCTGTTCAAATGACAGCATGACACCCAGATGTGGTATTCCTTTTCAAAATCAAAACTCTAACCAACAAATATATATGAGAAGGAAAAGTCCACCTTCCCCTGTTTCCCAAATATACTCCCTAGTATTGTTCACAAAATTGCTTCTTGGGGACTGGGGACTTAGCTCAGCAATACAAGCACCTGCCTGGCAAGTGCAAGGTGGTGAATTCAATCCCCAGTACCACAAACAAAAAACGGCTACTTGGTTCACAACCTTATTATCTTCTGGTTCTATTCTAAGAACCCCCTGACTGAGCTCCCTGCCTCCGGCCTGCCTGCCCTGAGTCAGTCTGCTTTCTGAGCCAGGAAATTTGCTTTTACTCAAAACTCTTCTGTAGCTTCCCACTACCTATAGGATGAACCCGCAGCAGTTCGCCTGGCCTCTTTGGTTTACTCCTACCCGCCATCAACGCCACCCCAAACCTTTGGCTTCTCGGAAGCATTGGCCTGCGTCTCCTTGTACTGCACTTACTTCCAGAGCCATCTTGTCATCCTCCATGTCTCCTTTGTTCAGGCAGTTCCCGCCCTGTCCTCCTTCTGTCTCTTCTGCCTAACCTGTTCCTACTTCTTTAAGGCCCGTCAATTATCACCTCTTCTGTGAAGAAGCCTCTTCTCCTCCCACACACAAGAATGAGAGAGAAGTCATTAGTCCTTCTCATGAGTCCCTGCTGCACTTTACACCTGGCTCTGTGGGTGCTAGCAGGAGTAGGGGTGCACTGATCTGCCTGTCCCAGCCCCTGGGCTGATTTCCAGACACCTTTTCTGCAGCGCTGCATGCCAACCCTCACTGCAGCATGGTGCTTCCAGAAGAATGAAAGGCAGTCTCAAGACTACAGTTTTTTTTAAGTAGATGTATTTTCCAGGCCAAATTCTGTGCCTCTATTCTCAACGCCATTTGCTTCTTTTTTTCTTCCTATCTGTGTCCCACAGACTCACAACCCACAAGCCCTTATCTCCCCATCCTGTTCATCGGAAGCTGTCTTTGACCCTGTTTGTTACAGCTGCTGCCTTGTGCCCTTTGCGCTGCCCAGATTTCACAGTGGCCGGCTCGTTGGTCTGTGCCCCTCCTGCCTCTAGTCAACCCTCAGCCCAGAGCAAGCCGTTTCCCCTTCACTCTACAAACCTGCATCTCAGAGGTCACAGGGATCTGCACACACTCAAGCCATCTTTCTCCTCGCTTCTCCTCTCTGCTCCTCTCCTCTCCTGTCCCATTGGGCTGGAAACATTGTCGTTTCTAAGGTCTCTACACTGCAATCTCAGCCTGCCAGTGACATCTCATCTTTTTGAAACTCAGTCATGCATTACTTAGCAGTGTGGATGCTTTGAGAACTACATCATCAGACAACTTCTTCACCGGAGTGAATATCACTGAATGTACTAAGTTGGCTACAATATCAGTAGGCAATATAATCTTGCATGACCAGTGTCACATACACAGTTCATCACTAGCTGAAGCATCATTAGGCAGTGTGTGGCTGTAAGTAATGCTCATAATCATTTACCACACTGTGTATTCCCCAAAATAAAGAACACCCAGTCTCCATGATGCAAGCCATTCCAGTTTTCTCTATTGCTGTCACCCTACTAAGAATGCCACATACGGCCACATGGGATTTGTGGCTTTGCATTCTCTGAACAAAGCATTTCAAAATACCATGCCGTGTTAAAGCTGTTTCCCCTGTAGCATCTACCCTTTCTCACCACTATATTCCTACTAGTCTTTCAAGGACAAACGTAATTATCCCCTCTCCAATAGAAATGTATCTTTATCCAGAAGTACCTACAATGCTTTATTAATGCAATAGTACTCTTATAGCACAGAGTCTTTAGTACAGCAAATGACCTCAGTGGCTGTGTCCCCTATTGAATTATGAAGCTTTTGAGACCAGAAACTATGTATTATTCACATTTTAGCCTCCCCAGACTTTCAGGGCATATAAACAATGGGCACTGAATAAATACCGATTATGGTGGGGATCCAACATATCCCCCCCAAAAGGTGCATTGTACTGAAGGCTTGGTGACCATTGTGCTTTAGGAGGTGATGGGACCATAGGTGCCCTCTTCTTAATCCATACATGAGATCACAATTTGATGGCATTAGGGGAAAGATAATGGAAATAGGAGATGCGGATTCAGTGTAAGAAGTGAATCATAGGGTGTGATCTTGGGGACTAAATATTATTGACAGACTTCGCTTTCCTTTTTTTCTGCTTCCTGATTGCCATAACACCTATGGCACACCCTTCCACCATGACGTTTCTCCTTCTCCACAGACTGAAAGCAATGGAGCCGGCTGACCACGGACTGAGACCTCTGCAGCCGTGAGCCGAAATAAATCTTCCCTCCTTTGTAATGTTTTTGTAGGCATTCAGTCACAGCAATGAAAAGCTGACTTGACATTATACCTATCGACTTTAAAGAATTAACAGGAATCAAGGAAGCTTCGAACAATAAGACAAGACTTATTACTCCTTGAAATTCTTTCATGACCCAGGATAAATTCAGTGTAAGTACTGCCACACCCAGAACATTCTCAGCACAAGTTTTGAATGGCCCAGATGCCTCCACCCAGTGGCACACCTTCGGGTTCTTACCTTTTGTTTCTCAAAATTCAAGTTGTCTCGCAAAATATCTCCAGAAACCAACTCTCCCTCCAGGTCTGTCAGCTGGCCCTGAAGAGCCTCCAACTTGTTTTCGGCTTTCTGGGCCCTCTGTAGAGTTTTTTGGTGAGATTCAGACTCGCTTCCCAACTGTTCAGCAAGCTCAGATACTCGAGATTCAAGCTGGGAGACCATCTGGAAATGAAGACTCAGAACAAGGATAAGATTTGTTTTAGATGTAACAAAGTGTTAACATCTAGCTCAGTACAAGTAACAAAACTGTTTCTCACATCCACTTCCAGATTCGTTGTAAAAATTAAATTAAGAACACGGACCATTCGTAGCCATATTTGCCTCTATTAGAAATAAATCTATATTTATTATTTAATACAATGCTTCTGGCCAATATTTTTTTATTTTTATATAATTCCTTCAACAGATTGATAAATATTTACAAATAAAATTTACTTACTTCCAAAACTGTCATAATTTAAGAGTTTCAAAGCTTAGTTAAAAAAAGTTATGGCAATAAATACTTTGAAAATCTACAAAAGAATCATTTGCCACCAAAAAAACTCCTTCACCACATATAGTTGATTAAAGATTATGCAGTGAATTGATCTTGATAAACTTATGCAGAATGTCAGTGCAGAAAAATACATTTTTCAACCTTGTATTGCATTTGGTTATTCATACCCTACACTCCAGTGTCACTGACTCTACATGCAATAGTTATACAGTGATTTTTATCATTCAAAAGGTCAAAATCTCTCCAATGGTGGCATCCTACAAGCAAGCAGGAGAATCTGACTCTCCTGCCTCATAAAATCCAAGACCCTTTGCTAAGTTCCCCTAGGGTTCCGGGTGCAGAAAAGATTCCAATATTTCCATCCTTCCCAAGATGGACTCTTAATTGTCCTATTCCCTTAAACCAAGAGCATAAGTGTATTACAGACCTCAAGTACAGTTTCAGATTCTCAAATTGATTTTGTTAAATTCAGCTTTCATCAAATGTTGAACTTAGACATCCCAGACAGCAGTCCGGATGAAGGACAATAAGTCCACACCCTGCACCCCTCCGTTACATTCTGGAGGGTGGCCTGGCTAAAAGGCAGTGAGGCTGCGTTCTCCTCCTGCCCTTATATCCCGGACAGTGAGGCTGGCTGGAAGACAGTGAATTTGCGATCCTGGCCTCCTCCCTTGCATCCCAGAGGTGGGCTGGATGAAAGAGTATAAGACTGACAGCAACCCTAAGAGCCAGTTCAATAGCCCGACACACAAATGCACACACTCCTCTGGAGTGCTAAGTAATCAGCAAAGCCAATTACATGAAAGTACCCAAAGCCACAGTGAGGAGACAGCAGTTGGACTCTGGAGAATTCCACTGACAGAAGACCAGTGCCAGCCCCCACATTCAGAGGCCATGTCAGGATTGGCTCCATAACCAGCACATCTCTAGGATGCAACATGAGCATTATCACAGAACTGTAAACACCAGGAGGTAGGTTCTTGGGATAGCTATAAAGAACCAACTACATCTGGAGGACATCCTTGAGGAAAGGACATCTCCTTTAATGGTAGAGTTATATATCATGGGATGTTGGCGGGTATCAACAGAGAAGACAAAATAAAAGAAAAAAAGAGTAGGTGGAGAATGGCAAGACACAGAGACAGGCACAGCTCCAGAGACCCAGCCACCCAGGACAGGCCTGGAATGCAACAAGATGGTTGAAGTTAGAAGTCAAACACTGGAACTTTCTGAAATGATAACAACAGAAGTGAAAACACAAGTAGAAAAGTCTATAGAGGGAAAATAATCTCTAAGGTGCAAAAAGAAATAATGCTTAAAATCAAAGATATTAGAGAAGACACACACAAAAGAATAGATGAGCTTAGAAAAAGATGGAAACAAAAACGACCAACGTAGGAGAGAAATGGAATCCATGAAACAGTTACAAAAAGAGACCCAGGAAATTAAAATCTCTAATGAATATATATGCAACAGACTGAATGAAGGAAAGGATAGAATTTCAGATCTTAAAGACAGAATTGCACCTAGTGATTATGAAAAGAAACATACCTTAAAAATAGCAAGAGACCATGAGAAATCAATCCAACAGCTACAAAACAAAACAAAGAAGAATAGCACAAGATTGAATGGAGTCAATAAGAAAGCTGGAGACAGCATAAATGCCTTGGCAATCATAAATATATATATACACCTCATATAGGAGCATCCAAGTTATTGGTAGACATGGAAAATGAAATGAGCAACAAGGTTGTAATGGGAGACCTCAATCTCCCCATTGTCACAGAGACACAGCTCAACCAGATAGAAAATCAGCAAAGAACTATCAGAGCTGAACCAAACCTGTGCCCAAATGGACTTAATAAGAGGAAGTCATGCCCTGAGGCCAGCTGCCAGCAGCCAGGAGAGATCCGGCAGACTCAGCACCAGCCCAAAGAAGAAGCCATGCCCGAGGCCCTACCACCACTGGGGGAGCATCTGTGAACCATTTCCCTGCATCTCTCCACAACTCCAGGAACCCCGGATTGGAGGAACTCAGGTGCCTAATCTAATCCCCTATATGGAGGAACTGACAGCCAATGCAGGAAGAATTGGGGTGTAGCAATGAGCTAATCTGGAGAAACACAGGAAAGTATCAAGACAAAATACAATCTCAGGGTCTGGGGATTTAGCTCAGCGGCATAAGAACCTGCCTTGCAAGCAGGTGCTCGTCAGTTCGATCCCCGGTACCAATAAAAAAATATATATATAATCTCAGACCTCAGCCCACACAGAACAAGTTCAGGAGACACAGACATAGTAGAAGTTAGAAACCACATACCTGAAATTTCTTGTATTGGTTGGTTAATTTTACATGCCTATGTCTGATGGTCTGGACAGCTATTTTGAAGATATTAAGAGCCATTATGGTGGTCACTGTTAATTTCCTATTATCTTGTTTTGAAGTACTGTGTCATTTTCACTGTTTTGTTTGGTTTAATTTTATTATGACTGATGATATGAGCAGCTATTTTGAAGATAACAAGATATATTATGGTAGCCATTGTCAATTTCCTATTATCTTGTTTTGAAGTCCTGTATTGCTCTCATTGTTTTGTTTTGATTGACTTTATGTGTCTTATTTTGTTTGGTTTTATTCTATTTAAAATAAAATTTTTAAACTTCTGGGAAGATGGTGGAACAGTAAGCAGCAGGGTAAACAGCCTCTCTGAGAGACACAGTCCAGATGCTGGAATATAGCATCTTGGGGAAGACAAGGATGGAAGTGGGCACCCTGGATCCAGGAAGAACCTAAAATGAGAATTGAAGCCCATAGAGAGAGTGAAAAAGAAAAACTTAAAGGAAGAAGAAGGTGGTAGCTGGCGGCACCTTCATCTGGAGCCAACCCACTGTGTGAGAGGAGCTGTTGGGACCTGAGGACGTACAGTCATGGTGACTGTGGTGACTGGCAAGCCTGGAAGGCTTTGCAGAAAGACGTGGCAGTGGAGACACGACAGACACAAAGAACTACACTGGCTGGCAGAGAGTGCAGAGGGCTCAGTCCTCCCATGGAAGAGAACCATTGGCAGGTAGATCCCGGCAGGTAACCAGATAGGAGGCAGAGGGCCATCCCTGTCCATATGCACTCCAACAGCCGCTGGTGGCAGAGGGGGCTCACCAAGTGGGGCAGACAGCAGGCAGCCAGCACAGGCAGGGAGAACTAGCAGATCCACCTCCGCCTGCCAGGAGCTGCCACCAGAAGGCCCTTTCCTGCAGGCAGCCAGCAGAAGCAGGGATACACAACAAGATAAGCTCTGTGCACCTGTAGGCCACCATTGGAGGCCCTTGATTCCTTCAGGCAGCCATCACCCACCATCAGAATCAGACAAACACACCCCTGTGTGCCTGCCACCATCAGGGGAGGCCCAGTGTAGACACACAGGCTGAGAGAAGCATCCCCACCTCCACACATTCCTGATCATCAAGGAAGCCCCAGTGTAGCTGCACAGGTCTGGAAAGCTGGGGCTAGAGGAACCCAGGTGCCTGTCCCATTCCCCTACACCATAGAGGGGCAGCCAACATGGGAAATGCCAGCTTTGAGAGGAACCCAGGAGAATATCAAGACAAAGGAGCAAAAGGCAATCTCAGACCTCTAGCCCACATAGAACAAGTCTGGGAGATACAATCATGAAAGAAAATGGAAGTCACATACCTGAAATCTCTGAGAGGATAGCAACTGAAGTAAAGAAACAACTTCATGAGATTGTAAAAGCAGTCAAATCAGAAATAATGTCTCAGGTAAAAGAAGAAATCACAAACATACTGAAAGAATGGCTCAGTGTGTCTAAAGAAGACATAGACAAAAAAGAGGAGCGTAGAAAACGATGGAAACTTTGAATGAATGTAGAAAAGAATTATAATGCATGAAACATTCAAAGAGAGATGCAGGAAATCAAAAACTCAATGGATTAGGTTAGGATTATCTGGTGGTGAAACACTATTCTGCTTAAATGGTTATGTTTTGATCTGTGCTGTTTCGTTGTTATGCCCTCTTTTATCTCAATCTCCACTCCATTATTTACTTTTTTATCTTTATCCTTTTAATTAAAGGAAAAAAATAGCAGGATATATTATAGTAACCCACTTTGACTTTTCATTACCTTGATTTAAAGCCCTGTATTACTCTCACCATCTGGTTTTTAACTGATGTTCCCCTATTCTGTTTTGCTGGATAGTATCAGGTTCGAAAGTTTAGGCATCAGCTGTGAAGATAATGAGATTCATTATGACACCCATTCTTGTTGACTTTTATCTACTTTTGAAGACCTACAATGTCTCCAATGTTTTGGTTTTGTCGGTTTTATTCTTTACTGTTTTGTTCAATTGTATTATAACTAACGATATAGGCAATTCTATTAGAGATAGCGGGAGGCATTATGGTAACCATTGTTGATCACCTTGTATTATGTTTTTACATTATCTATTATGTCCACCCTTTTGACTTGACCGATTCTGTTCTGTTATGTCACATTTGGTTTTACTCTCTTCCAAAAAAGTAATAAGAACCGTGGGAGCAATGAAACCCAAAATGTGTAATAGTCATGGTACAAAAGAGAGGAAAAGAAAGTGCTCCAAACTATATAACTGCATGTATATTTAAATGTATAAGACAGAAAATGATATCACA